GGGGAGCGTTCGTCTTATAGCTTGAGGGAGAGCTTCTTGGAAGCTTCTACATCTGGGAACTGGGGTGTTATCCACAACAAGGTACGTATCATGCACCTAAAGAGAAATGAGCCGGGCGTTCATGATATCATTGGTGCAACTCTGCCAGTTCCGGAATCTACGAACGCGTGGATGTGGGATTGGGATTGAACCGGTAACACCTTGAGAACAGCTCTGAAAAAAAAGTGGAGGTGAAGCTCGGGATGTCCCAGAATCATGACATCTGTGACATGCAAGACAACTGCTTCCGTAACTCGATCTTTCTTTTTAAATTTAGAAATCAATGAACAAGAGCTCATCCCTCCTAGCAGATATCTCTGAGCACAATACTTCTGATACTCAATTCCTTTAAACCCATATCATGTCTCGTCATACTCTTCAAAACAAAACAATATCATCTTCAACAAGACCCCACCTCGATCGAGAAAGCCCCATAATTAACCCCCCTCCAGAAAAGCATCTCTGCTGAGTCAAGGCTGATGTGTGCTTAGCAGAAGACGCTTAGCTTCTATTACACGAGCCTGACAAAACATACTCAATGCGGGGACGTCTCTGTCCGACCGCGCGCGGTTATTGCAAATCTTATGATTTCTACCTTGTCTCTCCATCTTGTCCAACCATTTGATAAGCCGGAATGTTTCATTCTACAATTTTTATACAGGACTTCTCACTCCGGCACTTGCTCTATCCGGTTTCCTGTTTCGATGCTTGTATATCCGTTACCCACATTCTATCTCACCTCATCTTTCTTCTTGATTCTTTTTCTTCTTCTTTTATCTTCTTTCTCACCGACATCCTCAATCTCATGCTGATGCATCAATAGCTTGTCTTCAGTGGATCTCAACAACCGTCGTGGTTATTCTTAGCCCCTTGCAGCTGAAGCTCCGCTGAACCAATTGCCCCGTTCCCAACCGCCCTCGAGCATCCACTCTCGCCTTATCAATGGAACGACTTTGCATATAAATCTCATGCCAGGACCCCCTCTTAGTCGGTAAGAGTCTCAAAGTTGGCTTGAGGCTTACGATCAACTTACAAAGGCCGGTGCCAACGTACTATCAAGCTACATTGTCACATGATAGCATCACCAGACTTGCATGCTGGGTAAGTGTTCTTGGCTGTAAAGTATGACATTTTCTGTACACCAGCTATCTCACACATCGAAACTCAATATCCGCCAATATCAACGCCACACCGTGATAGGTACTCAAAAGTCTCAATATGTATGCTGCCTCTGAGGCTCAATCCCGTCCTAAGCAAAAAGCCAAAGTGCCTTTCAAAAGATTCAAGCCCAGGCCAAACTCCATGCTTTCGTTAGATGATTTGATACATCGAGAGTTCAATACTCTAAACCAATCCCACATGAGCTATAAAAAAAAATGAAGAAAAAAAAGGAGCTAAAAGAAAGACTTCATATATCATCGGTGTGGTGATCGTTGTTCGTCGTCTCGTGGATGTGCGCTTGAAGGTTCAATCACGATCTCAGGGAGTTGCGGTATTCTTAAGCTTGGTAGTTGCGGCACGCTACCATTGGCTTGACCGCTTGGTGAGCTGTTGCTTTGTCCGTCTGAAGCTGGATCCATCTCATGCCAATCTGACCCGAGATCTCGTTCTGTAGTTCGCTGCGTTCTCTGCGACGAGGAGCGCTCAGGGCCGGGATATTCGGGCGGAGGTCCGTGATTAGAGGATCGGTCATCGGTGAGCGGTATATCTTCGTACTCGGGAGGTGGCATCGCCTCTTCACCAAGATCCGCCTCTACCAACTCAGGACTCGAGCCAGCTCTGCCATCTGCGCTGCCTGATCGAATAGAAGCTCCTTGCGAACGTGTAGGCGCAAGACTTGCAAAGTCATCATCATGACTGGCAGCAGAACTGTAGCTGCGCCCTCGTTGATGTCCCGATTGCATGCTCGCGGCATCAGAGAGTAGGCCAACACGTTCACTCTCACTGCTATTTGCTCTGATTCTCGTTCCGTCATGTCGTGCAACACCTACGTCTGCATATGATACACTAGACACGGATCTCTGCCTGTTGTCCTTGATCTGGTCCACAGTCGTTCGTAGTTCGGTAATAGTGTTGTCCTCGTTCGCAGCACGAGTCTCAGCTCTAATCGTCTCGAGCTCGCGGTAGTCGCTTCTGAGCCGTGCCTCGCGACGTCGCTCTCGACGCTCTTCACGCTCAGCGAGGGCCTGTCGTCGAGCCAGTCTGATCTGGTAGAGAGTTTCCATCTCTTCATTTCGAGCTTCCTCCTCTGCCTCTGCGGTCGGCAGGTCAATGATCACGTCCACGCCATCCCGCTCGCCTTCTCGTCCCAGAACCCTTTCATTATGGCTTGCGCTCTGTCGATACGCCGGCAATGTAAGCACAGAGCGGACGGAAGTATTTCGATCGACGGTTGCGCCAGCGTTGGTACCGTTATTGGTACTGTTGCGATTTTGTCGGTTATTGGTTGAAGTAGAAGTGGGATCGAGCTGATGCGATTGTCTTCCACTCTCCCCACCATCTTCGCCCGCTGTCTGCTCGTAATTGCCCTGCCCCGACCGACCTCTAATTCGTTCAAGAAAGCCTCCCTTCTTTTTACTCTCTGTCGGCTTCTTCTTTTGTCGCGCCTTCGTTATGCAAATAGCCAAAGTAATTGCTACCACTACACCGGCAATACTACCGATGACCTGCACGTTGGGACATAAATGTTAGCGCCATGGCAGATCTCGGCGATTCTTGCACCTCAGATAAACTTACAATAAAGACAACTGTATTATTGGTCCCTCCGCTACCGTTGCTAGATGACGTTTCTCGAGGTTGAAGTGCGCTCTCGGTGGCATCCCAGCCACGCGGTATTGGGACGTTCAGATGCATTTCAAACTGAACTGCACCATTCAGCGGAAGCAGAAGTTGATTGTACTGGTAATGAGTATGAATTGCTGGCGACAATTCGTCGGAGACGGCGGGTAGAAGAGGACCACACAGAGGCGCGCCCGATTGGATGATCGATGATTGCCGATACGAAGTGGGAGTACAGAGTTTCGTATAAGATTCAACGATTGCGGCAAAAAGCGTTGTTCCTGAGGAAGAAGGTTTGATTGACAGGAGATTGATTAAGAGGAACAGAACCACAACAGAGGAAGATGAATACTATTGCCTCCAACTTCCAGGCAAAGCAATGCACAGCTCAGCACAGCCGCAGTTATCGGGCGCTCACGAGGCGCGAGGTTGGTTGGTTGGCTTTCCCGTCCAGTCGGCTTGGCTTGGCTGAGCTGGACTGGACTGGATGTGAAAATGGACCTGGGCCTGGACTTTCAGCAGGGGTATTTCGGGACCTTTTACCCTTTATACTCGCTGTGTGTTTCACTGATGGAAGCACAAAATGGGAGGAAATAAGATGATTACGAGTGTAACGAGAAGTTAAAAACGAGAAATTGAGGTTGGTATTGACCAGAATAAGCGGATGAGCCGTCTCGTCTTGGTTTGCTCTGCTCTGCTCTGCCGTCAGATCAAGAACTGGCTAACGTAACTTTCATCACCTATCATCTGCTCCTTGACGATCATGACTTGTCAGTGGCCGTTAGGGTGGTGACATCAGTAAGCGGCTACGTAACTTAGCACAGGGCCAAGCTGTGGCCTCTGCTTACTTCCCCTCGAGGGTCTATGATAGTGTCTTCGAGGCTTAGAGCCTTAGACACTGAATATCATATCGACAGTTGTGTTGATTGAATCACCTGTCAAAGATGATCAGATGGAATGGCAAGGCGTTGTGGCTGGTGTACATTAGGCACAAACTCTTATCTTGCCGCCATATATCTAAAACTTGTACTCCTTGACCGAAGGGTTGCACCCGATCCTTGAGCGACAAGTTCATCCCCAAGGAATAAGCATCAACGGGGCCCCCAGTTCATTACGCAATCACCACAGATCTGCGGGACAGCTCCCTTGTTTTGGTATACATTTTTCCCGGCGACCCCTCATCGTAACGAGAGTTCAATAAGTTCTTCAACACGTTTTCACATGGTAGCTCAGAGCTCTCTGTTACGTTCCATGCCGTCGTAGGCTCTCTCTCAGGATCCACCTAAAGAACGGCTTCCCCAGCCGCTAAAGATCATCAAAATACGCTACTGAAAGGCCCTGTCCCTTAAATCTGACCTTCCAAGAATGTGGCGTGGCTGAGGTGGCCCCCGCTAGAGCTCAGCCTCCCCGCATCTTTCTTCTGATGCAATACTTGTTGCCCTTGTCTAATCTTCGTCCAGGAGGTCAGATTAACGAAACTCTTTGTTCGATTGGTGAGCCATCAACAGTATTGTCACTAACTTTTGCCTTTTCTAAAAGTTTTGGTCGCAATGTGTCCTGCTTATACTATTATGGAATGTTTGCTCCTGTGGCTTTGCAAGGGTTGCCATCAGTCTTCCGTTAAGCAATGCACATTGTCGGGGTTTCCGTGATAACCAGCCTTTTTTAATACTACTACTTCTTCTTTTGTCGTATTACATTCAGCCGTACAGTAAGCCTCCTTTCATAGCTCACTCTTGTTTAACCTACGGGATCTTGAAACACAAGCCTTCAATATCTTCTCCGGGCTGTTGGTGTTACACAGTCGATTCAGGGACAGCGTTATACAGCATTCGCTGGGCCTTCTTCACAAAAAGGAGAGATCCTTATTATGACCATTTTTCAATTTTTGCTTTTCACCATTGAAGAGGTTATCAAGGTTTCAACTTTAACTAGCAGTAATATAAACAGTGACTCCTTTATGAGAGGCTGGTATATCAGTCATTAAGGCAGTGATATTGGACGCTGAGATACCAGCCGGTTATAAAGCCCCCACTGTTTATATCACTGTTGCTCAAAGTTGAAAGGCTGATCCTTATTGTAAGCAGATTAAAATGAATGGTGATGCTATACAAAATTAACATGTGGGAATAAAACAACCCTGAACTCCCGCTCCAACCAAGTTCGCATAAATCACATGTCATTTATCCAAACTTCTTCTCAAACTTCTTCAACATGCCCGTTACACCACGTTCCAATCGTCCCGCATTCTCCTCAAGTTTGCCTCGTGGCTCCTTCGTCTTAGGTGTAAACGAGTAGATTTCGGAATTGGCCAATTCTGTTTGCGTCGGACGGTAAACTTGCTGATGGACTGAATATTCTGCACCTGGCTGAGCTGGCGCCTGCTGCTCTTGGTGGGTATAATTGTACTGCGTGAAGCCTCCTGGAGGTGGTGGAGGAAGTCCTGGGTTGGAAGCTGGGGGTGTTGGTTGAGAGTGGGGTTGAGTCTGGGCTGGAGGTTGAGTTTGTGGAGGAGGCGGGGGAGATACAAATCCAGGTGAACCTGGAAATGTTGCGCCATATGGACTTCCCAATGCTTGAGCAGGCATTGTAGCAGCTCTTTGCAATCCAGGATGCTGACCAAATTGAGGCGGAGGCAATCCAGGGCTTGTCACACCTCCTGGAGGGAATTGTGATGGCGGAGGCATACCCGGTGTGAAAGGCTGCTTGTGATAATCATACGCAACAGCAACAGCAAGCGGGTTGAGTGGATCCTCATCTGGAGGCGGTGTCTTTTCTCGATGCTGAATCGTCTCCGGAGCCGCTGGGGCGGCCGGGTTGTAAGCCATCGGAGCAAAGTTGGCCGGTGCCTCGGAGGGCGGAGCCGGAGGCGGGGCGGGGACGTTAGGAGGAGGCGCAAAGCTCGGAGCGCTGGCTGAACCATATTGGGGATCTGAGATCGCAACGTTCTCCAACTGTTGAACCACAGAGCTCATGGGCGCAGGTTGAGGAGGCGGGCCAGGCTCATCCAAGACTTCAACGTGTGAAGGTGGAGCAACTCTTCTAACACCATTAACGAACTGGAGCGCATCTGTCTGGGTCCAGAAGTAGATGTCAAGTGAGTGAAGCTTATAGTGGTATTTGTTTTGATTCTGAGGATCAAAAGTTGGTAAGTGCCATTCGTTTTGGTCCGCGACAGCTTCAGGTCCGGTCAGAGTGACGTTGCATTGTTGCTTGTAGGAGTATCGGACGTGTGTCTGATCGAGGTCTGCAGGTCGGCTTATCAGTATGGTCACTCTCAGCTATGCACGACCTCAAAATCTCGAGTCTTACATCCTTCGAAAGCATCCTGATCCTCAGTACCAGGCTGGTTGGCAATTTCAATGCGACATCGGCGCTCGTTGGCGTTCTCAAAAAGATAGACGTACGAGCCCTTATCGAACCTGTGATGTCTGGGCTTCACAGTATCGGGGCCATAGAAGTAATGAATGTCTGCGAAGCTTCATTGAGGGTCTGTCAGCAAATTGGGACGTCTCCTCAGCAAGTTTAGCCGTCGCAACTCACAGTGTCGCAACATTTTCCTCTCCTGGTCGCGCAGCCATATTAAAGGTTTCTCTCCTCTGGGAGCTCACCTTACAGAACAGGATCAAAGACCTGTAGGGGGAGAATCAAGTGACTCATGACAGAAAGAAAATGTGCGGCCTCATTCAGCTTTTATACCCTCCCCTTCCGAGTCCAACCCTCATTTCAGAGCTGGGCGCCATTTGACTCGTCGACTGATCAACTTCTGTGTTTCCAACAGACGACATAATGCATGTAAGTTGTCCATGTCGGCGCTTAAACGCCTGTTCTTGGGGAGGGGAAGCACATTCTTTGGCCAATTGAGTTCAGAGGACCCTTGGTGTCGTTAGAGTCGTCCCACCACCAAAATAGCGGCCCCCACTAACCAAGACAGCACTAAAAGCACCTAAAACAGAGTCGAAGGTACAAAATCACATGACCTCGTGTGTTTTCTGAACGCGTCCAGGATTTTGAGGGGGCTCCCGTCACGTCACCTTTCAGCATTCATCTCTGAGACGCGACGACATCGGGCTAGCTTCACGATGCCTTCAATAGTTGCAGTATATGCTATGAAGACACCGCTATTGGCCCCTTGAGATGAGCTCAACTGATCTACCGGAGGAGCAACCTCCATTACAACCTACAGAGGATACTTCAGGGGCTGAACAAGAAACAAAAGGCGTCAGCAGAGATACCCCTGAGACTGCAGAGGATGATGCTTTCAAAACTCTCAAGTATTCCCTTCTGGGGCCATCGCTACTAAAAGCAGGTCAAGATAAGGTTGATCAAACAAAGGTACACATCCTTGCCGCCCGCGCAACCAATTATCACTAAGACAACTTACAAGGTTTCTGAAATCATCTACAACGCTTCCAAAGGATCCAAATTCTTCAATCGCGAAGAAGAACGAGACAAGGTCCTTACCCAAAAGATCGAACAAATTATCGCACGAAAGGCTCAACTGGAGAAGAGGGACCTGACTCGGGACTTGCGCAACGCAGACCGTCTCATTGCCGAACTTGAACTCACTCGCGACCTCACTCAGCACATCGTCCATGTGGATTGTGATGCATTCTACGCAGCGGTCGAACAGCTCGATCGCCCGGAAATAAAAGACCTCCCGTTCGCAGTTGGTGGCGGCGTTTTGACCACCTGCAATTATGTTGCGCGCAAGTTCGGCTGTCGATCAGGCATGGCTGGCTTTGTGGCCAAGAAATTATGTCCAAACTTGATCTTGCTAAAGCCAAACTTTCAGAAATACAATGCCAAAGCGCATGAAGTGAGAGAAGTTCTAGTCAACTACGATCCAAGGTTCGAGAGCGCTAGTATCGATGAGGCATACCTAAACATCACCGAATACTGCCAGGAACACCAGATGGACCCAGCGGAAGCCGTTGAACAGATGCGGCGAGAAGTTCATGAGAAGACAAATATCACTGTCTCTGCTGGCATTGCTGCCAACGCAAAACTCGCAAAGATCTGTTCAAATATGAACAAGCCCAATGGGCAATACGTTTTATCTAGCGATCGGCCAACAATCATGGCCTTTATGCGCGACCTACCTACCCGGAAAGTCAACGGTATAGGGAGAGTCCTCGAAAGAGAATTGTTGGAGATTGGTATCAAGACTTGTGGTGATTTCTACGAGCACCGACAATATCTCAACCCACTGTTTGGTGATAAAACCTCAGAGTTCCTGTTCACATGCTACTTAGGTCTTGGTCGCACCAAAATTCAGCCAGCAGAAGAGTACGAGCGCAAAAGCGTTGGCACTGAGAGTACATTCCGCGATATGTCGGATCCTACACAGCTCAGAGAAAAGTTACGAGCAACAGCGGAGGAGTTGGAGCAGGACATGAAGCGAGCTGAGTGTAAAGGCCGTACACTCTGTCTTAAAGTTAAACTTCACACATTCGAGGTCTTCACTCGGCAGGCCGTCCTTCCAAGAGCTGTATGTCTCGCAGATGACCTATATAACTACGCCCTGCCTATCCTCACCAAGCTGGAACAAGAAGTGCCCGGCATGAAACTTCGGTTGATGGGTCTGAGATGCACACATCTCGTCAGTACCAAGAAGCCCGATACCATGGCATTCTTCGGCTTTCGGCCACGAAGGTCAGACTCAGAAGACCGCCCGCAAGACGGAACCCTGAAAAGAAAAGCAAGTGATGATGACGGAGAATGGGAACAGTGGCCAGAAGCCGATCTTCAACTTGATGACCCGGATGGTCTAGTGGAGGGCTCTTCTAGTAACCAGGACACTCCAGATCAATCACCAGGCCGAAGACACGGCAAGGAGATCGCCCCTAATCCCACGAAAGAGAACGCTGCAGAGGAGCAGTGGTGGGACTGTCCCATCTGCAGCAGACCGCAAGCGGCCGATGAGCGGCAGTTCAATGAACATATAGACCTTTGCCTATCAAGGCAGACGATTCGTGAAGCTGTTCAAGCAGATGGTCCGTCAACAAAACGTGACCCGACGCCCGAAATCAAGAAGCCACGGACGACAGAGAAGAAGAGAGGGAGGCCGAAGGTGCCTGATCCGAAACAGAGACAGTTATTCTTTGGATAGTATAGGTGAAATGAATTTGATGAATGAATGATGCAGACAGGTCTATGATGTACCATTGTCTAAATACCCGTCCAACTTTGTTTTACTTTTCCGTTGGTCAAACCAAATCAATCGTGTTTCCACATCCGTAAACGCCTTGCTCGTATACATGCGATATGCAACTTTACATGACTCTAGACTCTCGACTAGCTATCCTATTCATCGTCTTCGTCCTTCTGATCTTCGAGTCTTCTTCCTCTTCACGTACCAGCTTCTCTCCTGGCAATCTAACAGCCTTGTCAAGCGCAACAGGGAGACCTCGATGTCGGCCTCTGAGGATCACCAAGCACAATACAAACTTGCTACCTCGGTGCATGCCTCCAGCCATGCTGTAGCTTTTTCCTGGTAAGCCCATGGACAAACCAACGCACCCATAAGCCGAAACGACCTCAAACAACACATTAAAGACACTGTAAGCAAGAGGTTGTTCAAGGAAATGGTCGGTCTCGATGATCATGATAATGATGACCGGGAGGATGAGCCACCACATGTCGTGAGCAAGCTGTCCACGAATCTGTTGTCCAATGAAAGAGATGCGAGAGTTGTCGTCTGGACCTTTGGGCGGAGGTCGCACGCCGACGCCATGGAAAGTCAAAGATTTCTTAACCGTCTTTTGAGCTGCAGCTGTGACTCTTCGTCGCAGTGCAGGTTTTTCTGGTTCCTCAGAGATCGTGGGCAAGAGGTGGTTTCCATTCTCTGCTTCCAAAACTTGAGGGTCGTCCTCGTAGATACCGAGGGATCGTTCCTCATAGACGTTGGAGTGACGCATCGTAATTGAGACAGGATACACGGAAATGTACATCATAATCATGTAGAGCAATTGGACGGCGGGGTAGAGACTTGAGATAGAAACGACCGCGAAACCGGCAGCACGAACAGCTTGAGGTGTGTTAGTAAGGTAATCACACAGTGGTAAGGTTCTTACTTACCAATTGCTTGGAACCATCCAGCAATGATACGGTCAGACACTGGCATAGCTTCTACAACATCATTCCCGATATTCAAAACTTCGAAAGCAACCCAGTCAATCGTGTTAATGGTAACGATGACAGTGAAGAGCCACCATGTAGCACCTGACGGGAAAAGTGTCGTGTACACTCGACGGGGATACTTGAGAATGAACTCGATCGTCTCTTTCCATGGTCCCAGAGTCTTGGGTTCGGTCGTCAGTTGCAACACCCTGAGACTACACCAAAGAAAGAATCTCAAGAGCAGCGGATAGCCCGTATTCCCAGCAAGGACAAGGATACCAACGACGATGAGAACAAAATACGCATCCTGAAATGCACCCATTCCTGCGTCATTGAGCGACATGCCGGCATTGTTAAATGCCGAAGACGATAAGAAGATTCCACACCACCAGGGATTGATGGCATTTACGGTTGCCGCGGACGGCCGGTTGATGCTAATCCAAGCACCCAGGGCAATTCCACATACAGCTTGCCACATGAAGGCGTAAAGGGGAACAGTGACGGCCAAGATCTTCAGCGCGCGATACTCACAGCCACCCAAAGCCTCCCGCTCATCGGATGATAGATCGTAGAATTGGCCTCTCTTGCTCGTGTTGTGACTACCGAGGATCTTCTTCCAGTGAAGAAGAAAGTCTTCTGATTCGTCGCTGTTAACTGAGTCTGAGGTTGAAGGTCGTCGGTTGGGTTCCACGTTCTCGTTTCGTCGATAGATGGACACGCTGTCTCTGCCGGCACTTCGGGGCGACAAGTTATCTGCGAATTGGATATGATCGCCGGAGTTTGGAGTCATAGGAGCATTCCGTGCAGGAACTGCCACCTGCGTCGTATTGCTATCGTTGTCGTCTGAATCAGAGATAGAGTCTGCTGGGGCAGTAACTGCGCGGCGCATGGGAGCAGTTGTCTTGAACAAGTCGTTAGGATCAGGTTTCTCAGTTACTGTCCTCTGAACTGTTCCAAGACCAGTTAGGGTATTAGAAGTTTCAGTTGATACAGGTGTTGTCCTCGCTTTAGCGAATGGGAGGAATCGCCCAAGTGGTTTGGCACGTCTCAATGCGGCCCGTCGTTTCCTCGCTTCTCGTTCTGTCCTAACGGTATCCTCAAAACGCTTCTCAAACGCCTGCTTTCGTGCCATGACCGTCCAGAACGAAACCCATAGAGCGCTTCCGATAATAAATAGAAGATATAGCAGAACCTGCTGCCATGTCGTGATTTCGGAAAGATTGACGGTATTGAGGCCTGTATCGCAAAAAGAAGATACAACCAGGAACAGACAATCGACATAGGGGATGCTCTGGCTTGGCTCGCTGGATAGCCAGAAGATAAGTGAGAAGAAGAGGGATCCGAAGATGAAATAGGCGTAGTGAATGGTGATGAAATTGATGGGCGGTACCAGCCTCCCAGCCTGTGTAGCGACCGCATCAAGGCGCGGATGCTCCTCGCGAAGGTCTTTCCAGCGAGATCTGATGGAGTCGAGCATCGTCGTGGTTGCGTTGGGTGTGAGATGCCAAGTTGTGTACCCCAGCTGAAAGGGTCGGCTCCCAAGCAATAAGCAATAGGTGCGGGGCCTCAGAAAAGCTTGTTTGTTTAATCAGACGTCGTTATTTGAAGAGATATGACATTTCGATTGCTAGAGGAGATGATTGTGTGATGAAATCGCGGTGATGCCGGGTACACAAGTGAATGAGTGTTGAGTGAAAGAGAGACGTGAAAGAAAGAAATAAGTTTCGCTAGCAGATAAGGTTAAGACGGAAGACGGCAGATGCAAGGAAAGAGAAGAAACAGGACTGATTATACGGCGCGGGCGCGAGGAAGGAGAGACAATGCCGAAGAAGAAACAAAGAAACTGCTTGAAAGGTGCCAACTGGCAGTGCATCAATCGAAAACTAAAAGGGAGACAAGTTACGGCGCCCCTTGGATCCATCCAAATGGATGCTGTGCAAGTGAAAGCGCAAGGTACCACCAAATTCGAAGGTTGAGCGGGCGCTAAAAGCTTACCGCGTCCCAATTGAAACGGTGAGCACAAGGCGAGTTTGAATTGGACCCTGGTACTCCGTACAAAGAGACTGTGTTTACAAGGTTGAGGATCATGGAAAGGTCAAAGCTACAGACAAAGAGGGAGCCAATGTTTTGATATCCATCCACTATCCTCAAGTCTGGCTAGAAACAGTTCTATCTAAGCCTCAATTACTTGATGAGATACAATTGACGCTCTATTAAGGTTTAGATTCGGGCTTGTCTCTGGCCATTCCCGCCCGTCATCTCCATATTCATCCCGTCCCTCCCGACTCCCTCGCAGCGGAAACTCTTTAATTACCTTAGTTCCCGGGGCATTAAAACGGGCTAACGGGCCCGTTCCGCCAGCCGATATCATTGGTTTTATCGTAATGGAACGCTGATGCTTTCGGCTTCATTTATACGTGATTTAATGCCGGCCAACGTCAGTCTTGCTTTTCTGCCCTCAGATAGACATGTACTTGTACTGCTAGCATCAACTTCATTACTAGATACTTGTCATATAGCATTGCTATTTTTCATTCCTTCTTGAGATTGGTCTTCACGTGATCATAATGTTTAATTTAACCTCCACTCCTTATCCAGTTCTTCCCCTTTCATGGATTGACCCTTGCAGCTCGTGGCTGAGCCTGCATCCATATGTAACACCTTCTTGGGAGGAAACAAAAGCCCCAAATTGAGTTACGATAAGCACACGATCAATGTCTCATCTTGTCAGTCCACGTGAGAATGCAATGTCACTGGTGTCTGGGATATCGGAGCAGTCCTTCGCTGGTGGTACAACTACCATTTTTATCATGAGAAAGAAAGGATTGTCTACTACATGTAGTGAAACTACAGAGCCCCGTTTTAGTGTTGTTCACTGTTCCCATTTGCCTGTAAGTTGATGCGTTGTTGCAAAAACTGTACAGCGCATCACCACCGTTTCGAAGTGAAAAGTACAAGTGAACAGAGGTTTGCCAGCACCGCGGCGCTGAAGTTTCAGAAACATTACATGTAATAAGTAAAATCACGAGATGTAAAGACTGAATATAGCTATAATCGATTTTTTAGGGGACTCGTGTCGAATCCTTGCTCCTGGTGTTTCATGATACTCTTCGTCATGAAACTTCGTTTTGGAGTCTCACCTACCCTACACTTTCGAAATCAAGCTCACTAGCCTTCGACACTAAAACTCAGTCGCAATGGACTCTAGACAGATCAGATCAGTCTGAGTAACCCATAAGCATACCAAAGCAACTCGGTAGTATTTGAAATCAGTGGCATCCATCTCCAGTCCACGTAGTCCCGACAAAATCCTAGCTCTAGCACTCATGGTCGTTCATGATATCCTTGTGCACCTTACACTAACTATGACATACGATCTTCAATAATTTACTCATGATCAAATATCATCATGATGGAACAGAGGGAATGACGCAGTATGGGTAGTTATTGACCTACACCGCTGGAGATGAGACTGAGCTATTAACACCCCACCTGCAAGTGGACAAAGTATCCATCCATAATAAGCTCGAACATTTTACAAGTGGCTCAAAAGCAGAAACCGTTGCAATAAGATCGGGGGCAGACCCGTATCACCCCATAAGAAGTAAACCACCCTTGAAGCCTGTAGTTCATCAAGATATCAAACTCAGTAGTAAGAGATCAGACATGCTGAAGACATCACCAAGTGCATCCGCATGACTCGGGCGGTCATACCTGCATATATCTGCCCATCATCAACATCCTTTGATGTAACAGAAAATCAGAGGACATCATCTACACCCAGCCGCCAGAAGCGAAGCCATCACAAGAACAAGATGAAGGTATCGTATAATGACGTCGAGATCTACGAGACAAATCCTACTACCCGAGATAGACAGTAGGCCCTCTCTACAGCGCGATTATGCACATGCAACCAACATGTCACAGAGGGCCAACGTGGGGCTTAGCCCCGAGCGGATAGTACACAACGTTGACAGGACCGGGTTTTGTTTTCCAGCTTCTCAAGGCTGCGTCTAAGATAGAACATGGTATGGTGGGGGTTGATACGTCGTGCACAAAGTAGACCATTGAAGACATCAAATCTTTACAGCTCCTCGTGCTCAGGAGCGTCATCAGTGTCTGCAATGATGGTCTTGGCGGCATCAGCAGCATCGACAACAGCCTGAGCAACCTTACCAGCAACATTTTTGGTGGCAGATGCGGCAGACTCAGCAGCCTCACTGATAGCCTCGGCGGCAGTCTCGGCACCCTCGACAACCTTTGTCTTGATCTTCTCGGGCTTGGGGACGCCCTGAATTCCAACGAGCTCTGTCTCGAAAACTGCAGATTTGTAGTGTTAGGCGGTGAATATGAAGCGGGAGGGACTGGTGGGAATAACGAACCCAGGGTAGAGCCGGCGGGGATAGGGCCAATGGCTCGCTGGCCGTAGCCGTACTCAGGAGGGATGGTCAAAAGTCTAAGTCAAGGGTCAGTAAAGAGGTGTCCTGGCTGTGGCTGTATGCTTTACGTACCGCTTCTCGCCAATACACATGTCGAGAAGACCCTCGTCCCATCTACACAATCGTTAGCCTCAAGTTTGAATGCATCGCAGTGATGAAGCATACCCCCTGATGACCTGACCAGAGCCAACAACGAAATCAAGAGGAGTACCACGGTCGTAGCCTTGTGTCCAAGTTAGCATGTGTTTTGTGACGATCATTGATGTAGATGCAAGGCGGAGGAACTTACTGGCATCGAATTGCTTCCCCGAGTCCTTGAGGGTGCCACGGTAGTGCATCTGAACCCTGTCTCCCTTCTGTGTCTTGCGGTCGCAGACAACGGGAAGAGTAACATCAATCTTGAGGTCCTCGGCGACAACGCCAACGGCGGCAGAGGCGAGGGCGGAGAGGAAGAGGGCGGCCTTCATGGTGGCGGTCGGGATTGATGCGGGGCGGGGAATTGGTGAGGTTAATGGAGGTCACAACGGCGTGGAAGTCGTTGAGAAGCCTGAATTCGTCGGAGATGTGACGTCGACGGGTGTGGTAGGTTTGTCGTGTGAGGCAGAGTGAATGGGATGCGAGGGAGGTTGTCGTTGTATGGATGAAGCTCTGCCCTGGGGTTGTTGGCCTCTCTAACGTTAAGCTGCGACGTGTCCGTTTAGCGGCTAAAGGCTCTGTACTGTAGCGCGTGCTTCTGATACAACAGCGTCATAGCTTGGAGGGTCAAGCTAAGGAGCCTATTATTGGTCAATGGGGCCGGCCCGTCTGAATGACCCCATCCTTGATCTGTTTCTGGGTTGTCACGTCTCGCATCTCCATTTGGAAACTGGGGAGGCTGCAATGCCAGATATGGATGAGCAGAATCGAAACAACAGGGTCCATCCATGAGGACTTGCAGTCACGTTGGCCCTTCAACTACGTACATATGGATATCTGTTGCAAATCTGACGCATTACAAATCTGCATTTACATCTTCTGTTTCTGTTTCGGTCTGGCAGGGCGAAACCATCCATGTGACTCATGACGATAACACGACGCTTCACTGTATTAGTCGGGGTCCTGTACAGCCAAGCAAGGCGCAAAAAGGAAACATCCCTTGGCAGTCCCTGATTCATCACAGCAAGGCTGTTATCGAAACAGAGCATAGCGACGTCACTGGATGGTCATGTTTTTAATGTGACCAGTAATCAGTGTCGGGCCCATCCGCCCATCCATCCGTGTTCAGGATATCAGGAATTTTCTGCTGCGGCGGCTAGGGCGCCGATGTACTTACGCGTGACTGCATCAAGGCGAGATGGTGTAGAGCTTCAGCAATCGACAAGTGTACTACTCGAGCAGGCGCATCAGTTCCTGCAGCAGAGATGCAACCCAGATGGGGGCACATCCCAGCCTGCAGATGTCAGATCCACCAGCGCCGAGAAGCCCAGGGCCAAGCGCTTTACACGCTAATGCGCTTCACGATGAATTTCGCCTCTTGTCATGATGCTGTTTATCGAGACAGGGAGACATGATAGTCCCCTTTCAACCCCTTTACGTTACGGTGGGCGGCATAGAGCTTCGATAGGCTCGGGTGCACAATTCAGAGACACTTGTGTTTAAGTTTTGGGCAGCGATAGGTATGAGCTGGATTTGGTTGTGTCTGTTGTACAAGGGCGATGCCAGTCATGAGAGTCGAGGCCTGCATCAAAGAAATGAAAAAAAAAAAGGGTCAACAAAGAAGAAGAAACAGAGCGTGGGATGGGGAGCTGTCTGAGACAAAGAGTGGAATTGTGAGATTCACGAAGCGAAGCCTCACTCCCTTTCTTCCCCAGTCATGACGACCACCATGGATATTTTTATCTGTCCATGGTCACTAACTTAACTCCACGATCCCAAGGTTGTGGTACGTGTTACTGGCGCTGGTGCCTGTGGTGCCTGGTCTGGGCTGGACTCCAACCTCTAGCATGACGGCCGCTGCGAGTGTTTCATGCATTCACTCAAAGGCCGTTGCATCGTGAAAATGCCCCTGGTCTAATTAAGTCTAAGTCGTGCTGGGGGTTGGTATTTACCAGAGACCGAGTGCATGCACAACAGACCAGAAGAAGCGATTCGTGGCCCCCAATTACAGGCAACAACAGACAAAATATTATCGTCTTGTCTCTTTTCGTCTATTTTGAATCATTCTCCCCGAATTGTATCCCCTCAGACCTGGTCGGTCCCTCTCGCGCACACCGTGGGGCTTGGTCCTTTGCCCTGCCCTGCATCAAATGCTGCTCATTCGCCCTACGTCGCTACGGCTCCGCCCTATCCAGCGTCACCAACCTTCACTTGTTGACCTGAATTTCGCCACCGAGGGCCTGAGCAGTGCTGTCACAAGGTTTCTGCTATGGGGATGGATGTTCTGCAATTGCAATGAGTCTTGCCGGGATGTTTTCTTTAGACTCTGGTCCCTTGCCCTGAACAGCCAGTCGATGCCCAATTATTTGATACGCCCCATTATGCTGCACCCCGTATTGTCCATTCCCATTTACACACACCGTCCATTACTAGCCCTCCCGTCCGTCGTGCTTTAGATGGCATGGCCCGCTTGCCGTGCCGGGCCCGGGAGTACGTGCTTGCTCGGGTCTCTGACTCCTTTGACTCACTCCCCTGAACTTGATGGAATTCCTTGGGTCCCCCCATATCGAAGGCTACCTAGCGTGCGAGATGCCTTGCGCTTTGCCAGGTAACCCTTGTCCTCCAGGCAGTGAGGTCTTGGGTCAAATCCACTTACAAATGATTGAGTACGTACCATCGTTTCTCATCATCAAGCTTCAAATACATATAGACCCCCTTCCTCCTATCTATGCCATTCCCTTTTTCATTCCCACCAAACACTCACAATATAAAGCCTTGAAAGAACAGACCAGTCTGTCTTTTCAACCATCAACCTTTTCAACAAACATCTACAACACAACTCTCACAAACAACAACTACCCCTTACAAATAACCCAACCGCAACCATGAGCTCCCCTTACACTGTCCAAATCCACCAGAGCACCAAGGAGCCTTCCATCTCCAGCTCTTACAGCTACTCTTCTGGTTCGTACAGCTCTTCAACCAGCACAACGCCTCGATCTCTTTCTCCTGGCGATTACCGCGAGTACGGTGCTGGTAAGTTACCTACCACCGAGTCTCCGGGCTCTCTCACTTCCTTCGGCCCCACTCTAACCTTTGATGCAGACAAGCACACTACACAAGTTGCCAGCTCTGGTCGAAACTTGGTCATCAACCACAACAAAGTCTCTTATGAGAAGGACTCGCCAGCACCAAAATATTCTGGCGCATACACGAGGATCTAAACAACACTTGGCTACGGCCGCACTTTCGATTTCCTATGTTTCATCGATTTCGAACAGCGATATGTAACGGATACGGGATATACACAACATAGACTGGCGTTTTGACATTTGGGAATATGAAGCAAGATTGAGCGCAGCATGGCGATGTATCATGGATTAGAGAGCATGGATTGTACAACGATGACCAAGATTGATAGCCACTGGGACGGGCTGGATTGAGCCGATACTGCTTTTCTTTTTTCCTTTCTGGCTGTATTATTCTTTGTACTTTTACTATTCCAGCGTCGGGCACTTTGTGGTCCGCGCTGAACTTTTTAGAAGGGCCAAATCTCCCGTCTTGACCTCTTACAAGCCGAGACGGCTGGATGAGATATGAGACGGCCTGTCGGACTGGTCCGATAATAGCGACCCAATTTGAGATCATGGAAGAAAATTTCCAACACACCTTCCAGCTGTTTCAGCTCCTTTCCAATTTCATCCGTGCTTCTTCCTTGATTTTTGGAAATTTCAAAAAAAGGGTCCAAGACACAAAAATTTACTGATGGTGTGACGGGTTGGGTTGGGTCTCTGCGAGTGGATGGGGCCCTTGGGTTCCCTCCCGCTCGGTACCTGCAGCCCAACCCGTGGCAGGGGTCTCTTAGAGCTTCTGATATGTAATATCTCCTCCACTTTGGAAATGTTTGAAGAGTTTCTCCACGTTGGAATTTTCCATTAAAATGGCTTAGACTGTAAAAAGATGAGATGGAATTCCCACTTTCTGCGGATCAATGGCCTTGTCTCTGCCCAACTGGTGTATGGACAGTAGTCAGAATTGTATCCTCACACCCCAAGCTTCGTCTTGGTGCACAGTCGTGTAAGGGTCTGGGCAGTTCAGGATTTTACAATGTCAATATACTATAGCAATTACCACGGCCCAAGCCAAGGCCTCATAGCGCCCATGCATTTCATGTCTGTTGTATATACAACTATCCATTCACAGTAAAAGTCATTTCGGTACCAAAAAGAGATTTCCATTTCTGGCATCATGAGTACTGAGGCTCATGACCCCCCCTCGCATGACATCATGCTCAAGCGCCACCCTCACGCTTGGCATACTCGTCTTCGATGGCCTCTTCGTACTTTTTCGCTGCTTCGTCCTGGGCAACAGTACGCGGGTCGTCGTGCAAAACACCCTCCTTAATGAGAGCCTCTGGGTCTGGACGGTGTGAAATCTTGTCGTTAAGCTTATCCTCGAGCATGTGCTTCTCAAGCTGTGGGGGCGTCAGCGACTGTGGCTTCATGGTTTGATGGTGGGCTCACCTCTTTTTGATGCGCCTGGAGGCCTGGAGCTGCCGTAGAGGCTGGAAGGATGTTTTCTATTCAGGGTATGTAAGCATTGTACACACAAGGATGCAATGCGGGGGACTGCTCACTCTCTACGAGCTCGGAGCGTTCGGGGCGGTGCTTGAGGTGAGCTTCCAGGGAGTTTCGTCGTTCTACGGGAGAGATGGGAGACTCGTCAACGAGCTTGGGCTGCTGCTCAGTGTCGGCCATGATGGTATAGTATAAGTTTGAGCTTGGTAAACAGGGTGATTAAGTTCAGAGTGATGTGTAAGTGTAAGTATTGGTGTAAGTGGTTGCGGCAAAGTTTGGAGAAGGAAAAGGTAAACAGGTCTCAGAGGAAACGGATGCGGCGGTCTTAAGTTTATCTACTCCAACGATCTCAAGCTAAGGTCTCAGAAATGGGCCGTTGATGTGGCAGCGCATTGCCATGTTTATGCGCATTGGATGTTTCGTCGGGCGTGGTTGGCTTGGTCCGCTCACCTGTTTAGTGAGCATGCCACCTTTTGTGGTTGCTACCCCGCAACCGGGAAGCTCACTACTGTAAGCTGCGCGTCAGAGGACAGGGGACTGGACGATCAGTGGCTGGCTAAACTGCATTGAATTGAATTGTTAATTGTTCCTGGACGGATGTTTTGTTCTTCCGTTGGTGATACCATCACGATCGATATGAGATCGGTCTGGAGCTTGTTCGGCGGGGACGAGATGCAGGCCAAGACGCTTGAAGCTGGAGATGGACGGAGTATCTGGTGGATAGGGGCCACCTGAATTTTCTATTGGTAATTGATTGCATAGATCAAATGCTATTTGCATGAGTTTACTATTCTAAACTCTGATCCAACTTATGCTTTGATATCTTCTGTCCAAGCTCCACGAAGGGCCTTATCAGATCTCAAGGACTGAGACGTGTACAAAGCTAAACCAATTCGCTGTGGTTAAATCTGAACAAACTTATAGTGAATCACGCTTGATTTACAGAGGAAAGTCTGGTTCTCAAGTTAACAGTTGCTTATCTGTAAGCTCGAGTTGCTGCTGACGAAACCGTTTGATCAAGTCATCTTTGTCAAACCAACCCCAGCACTGTTCCTCAGTATCCCTGCAAAATACACTCCGACAATTGATAACAACTCCCTTGTCCAGAAAAGCTAGAATATGAGTCGACTCCTCACTGTTAGGTATTAAAGACTTCGACAGCGAGTCAAGATGAATCTTATTCCCTGATAAGACCAATTATCCCACTGCACAATGACGACACATCGGACATGAGCGAGTAAAAAGCAAGGCAATATTCGTTATCGCAGGGATTACCGACTCGGGATATTATTTGAATCATCCCTAGAACAGCGCAAAAGAGCTGAATAAACAATTTCACCTCAAATTCTTGTGATTTATGCTGCCTAGAGCAGACTTTTAATGCCGCGCGTTTTCATACAATAGCCAGACGTTAACAGTTGCTACCGCCACTTATTGCGTAAGGCTGCACAGTAATCCAGGGGGCTGTGCTGGGCGGAAAATTGTCGGCGTTTCGTCACCCGTCAGGCACCAGATCATCACTGAACACAACCTCCCAAGTCCAGTCGTCTCCAGCCACACCAAACCTACCTGAGCTTCTAGACTCTCCTTTGGAATTAAACTTCGCATTTTCTTCTCTGGCTTTTCACACCAGAGATCTTCAATTATTTAACACGGGATTAATCTTCTGATGCTCGTATAGATACAAATCAAATACTAACCATCTCTCACTTCCCCCTCCCCCCCCCTCTCTCCCCCATAAGTCGCACATCATGGTACGGTATCAACCCTCCATATCAGCGGTTTTTTCGCTGACAACTTTTCCTCACTTAGGGAATATCAAGACGCCCTAAGAACAAGGGCGCCGGTGCAGCCGCGGACGGCGCAAGCGGAGGCGCGAAGCCCAAGAAGGCCACCTTTGAGACAACCAAGAAGAAGGAGATTGGTGTTTCCGATCTGACTCTGCTCAGCAAAGTCTCCAACGAAGCCATCAACGAGAACTTGAAGAAGCGATTCGAAGGCCACGAAATTTATACCTACATTGGCCATGTGTTGGTCTCCGTTAACCCCTTCAGGGACCTGGGCATCTATACCGACCAGGTCCTCGAGAGCTACATGGGCAAGAACCGACTCGAGATGCCACCACACGTCTTCGCCATCGCCGAGGCCTCATACTACAACATGAAGGCATACAGCGACAACCAGTGTGTCATTATTTCAGGAGAGTCAGGAGCCGGAAAGACCGAGGCGGCCAAGCGCATCATGCAGTACATTGCTAGTGTGTCTGGTGGAGAATCCGGAGACATCAAGCAGATCAAGGACATGGTGCTGGCAACCAACCCCTTACTCGAATCGTTCGGAAACGCAAAGACCCTACGAAACAATAACTCCTCGCGATTCGGCAAGTATCTACAAATCTACTTCAACACCCAAGGCGAACCCGTGGGTGCCGACATCACAAACTACCTCCTGGAAAAGTCGCGAGTGGTGGGCCAGATCACGAACGAGCGAAACTTCCATATTTTCTACCAATTCGCAAAGGGTGCCTCACAACAATACCGAGAAACATTCGGTGTTCAAAAACCCGAGACCTACGTCTATACCAGTCGGTCAAAATGCTTGGACGTGGACGGTATCGACGATCTCGCCGAATTTCAGGACACGCTCAATGCCATGAAGGTTATTGGCCTTACTCAGGCTGAGCAAGATGAGATTTTCCGAATGCTGGCGGCTATTCTATGGATTGGAAACATCCAGTTTCAAGAGGATCAGGGCGGCTATGCAGAGGTTATTGACCGATCAGTGGTTGACTTTGCCGCCTACCTATTAGAAGTTACCCCTGACCAACTCATCAGCGGTATCACAATCCGAATTCTGACACCTCGAAATGGCGAAGTTATCGAATCGCCCGCCAACCCTGCCCAAGCGCAGGCTACCCGAGATGCTCTGGCAATGGCCATTTATAGCAACCTTTTCGACTGGATCGTCGAGCGCATCAACAAATCTCTCAAGGCGAGACAACCGACAACAAACACAATCGGTATTCTGGATATCTACGGATTCGAGATTTTCGAGAAGAACACTTTTGAGCAGCTATGCATCAACTACGTCAACGAGAAGCTACAGCAGATCTTCATTCAACTGACTCTCAAGGCCGAGCAGGAGGAGTACGCCAGGGAACAGATTCAATGGACTCCTATTAAGTACTTTGATAACAAGGTTGTGTGCGACCTTATCGAACAGATTCGACCAGTTGGTATCTTCTCTGCTATGAAGGATGCCACCAAGACTGCACACGCCGACCCTGCTGCTTGCGATCGCACATTCATGCAGAGTATCAACGGCATGTCTCACGCTCATCTTACCCCTCGACAAGGAAACTTCATCATCAAGCATTATGCCGGTGATGTCACATATACTGTCGAAGGTATTACGGATAAGAACAAGGATCAACTTCTAAAGGGTCTTTTGAACCTCTTCCAGCACAGTGGAAACCAATTTGTTCATACCCTGTTCCCTCGACCCGTCGATCAAGATAACCGAAAGCAACCTCCTTCTGCAGGAGATCGCATCCGAGCTTCCGCCAATGCCCTGGTTGATACGTTGATGAAGTGCCAGCCCTCATATATCCGTACCATCAAGCCCAACGAGAACAAGTCGCCAACAGAATATAACAGCCCCAATGTATTGCATCAGGTCAAGTATCTTGGTCTTCAAGAAAACGTTCGCATTCGTCGTGCCGGTTTTGCTTACCGTCAAGATTTCGACAAGTTCGTTGATCGATTCTTCCTTCTGTCTCCCGCTACCTCATATGCTGGTGAATTCACTTGGGAGGGAACAACTGAGGCTGCTGTAAAGCAGATCCTCAAGGATACCAGTATTCCTAAGGAAGAGTGGCAAATGGGTGTTACCAAGGCCTTTATCAAAGCCCCCGAGACGCTCTTTGCCCTTGAGCATATGAGAGATAGATACTGGCACAACATGGCTACGCGAATCCAGCGCATGTGGAGGGCTTACCTCGCATACCGAGCCGAGTCGGCTACCCGAATTCAGCGATTCTGGCGGAAGAAGCGAACTGGAGCAGAATACCTTCAGCTTCGTGACCATGGCCACCAGGTTCTTGGAGGTCGCAAGGAGAGACGCCGTATGAGTCTGTTGGGTTCCCGACGATTCCTCGGCGACTACCTGGGTGTCAACGCAAGCACTGGCCCTGGAGCCCAGATTCGCAACGCTGCCAACATCGGCACAAACGAAAAGGCGGTATTTTCATGCCGTGCTGAGATTCTGGAGGCCAAGTTTGGTCGATCCAGTAAAGCAAGCCCTCGAATCATCGTCGTCACCACCAACAAGTTCTATATCATTGCTCAAATGCTTGTGAATGGCCACCCACAAATCTCAGTTGAGAAAGCGGTCCCCTTGGGAGCTATCAAGTTCATCGGTGCCTCATCAGCTCGCGATGATTGGTTCTCACTAGGTATTGGTTCCCCTCAAGAACCTGATCCCCTGATGAACTGTATGCTCAAGACAGAAATGTTTACCCAGATGCAGCGAGTGATGCCTGGTGGATTTAACCTGAAGATCACTGAGACGATTGAGTATGCCAAGAAGCCCGGCAAGATGCAGCAGGTCAAGGTCTTGAAGGATTCGCAACTTCCAGTCGACTACTATAAGAGTGGTGCTGTTCACACACAGCCCGGTGAGCCACCGAATTCAGTCTCCAGACCTACACCCAAGGGCAAGCCTGTGCCTCCTCGTCCCATCACTCGAGGTAAGCTGATTAAGCCTGGTGGTCCCAACGGTCGACCTTCTCGCATCCAGGGCAATCGAACCGCCAAGCCTAGACCAGGAGCAGGTCGAGCCGTACCTCAACCACCAACTGCTGTCTCCAACATCGCCGCTGTTCCCGCTGCTGCTACTCAAAACACTCCTCGTATCGCTCCTCGCCCTGTTGCGAACGCTGCTGCTCCAATTCCTGCCACCCACAATGCTCTCCCAAGCCATACTCGCAATGCTAGTGGCGCTGGACGTGCACCTCCGCCACCGCCTCCTCCTGCTGCAGCAGCACGTCCACCAAGTCCACCTAAGGTTATGGCCAAGGTCTTGTATGACTTTGCTGGACAACGAGAGAACGAGCTCACCATCACCGCTGGTGAGATCGTCGAGATTGTGCAGAAGGAATCCAATGGTAAGTTTGACTGCTT